TTCTGTATATAATTTTGTAGCCTCTTATAATTCCCAAACAATACCCTGGGTCCAGATAATGGTTCTAGGGTTAAGTTTAATGATAAATACCTGTAATCTATGGGCCCCTTGCTGCTAATGTTGACCTCAGTCTTCAGTTTGGTGGTACTCTCATTAAATCCTTTGTCTTTCAGCATCCTAACTATGTGGAAGGAAAACATCACCCATATTCCTGAGTTCATCCTGGTGGGTTTCCCTACCTCCCATTGGCTACAGGTTCTGCTCTGTCTCCTCTTCCTCATCACCTACTTGTTTGTGCTGCTGGAGAATTTGGTCATCATCTTCACTGTATGGGTCACTGGGTCCTTGCACAAGCCCATGTACTATTTTCTGGGCACCATGTCTTTTCTGGAGACCTGCTATATATCTGTCACAGTCCCCAAGATGCTGGCTGGATTCCTACTTTGCCCCAATACCATCTCCTTCCTGGGATGCATGACCCAGCTCTATTTCTTTATGGCACTGTACTGTACTGAATGTGTGCTCTTGGCTGCCATGGCCTATGACCGTTACGTGGCCATATGTTGGCCGCTTCGCTATCCACTCATGATGACCACAGAGTGTTCAGCTCAGCTGACCTTCAGTTCCTGGGTGAGTGGCTTCACCGTCTCCATGGTAAAGGCTTACTTCATCTCCCAAGTTTCCTTCTGTGGCAATAATATCAGCGATGTGTCCCCCATCCCCAAACTGGCCTGCATGGACTTTTCCATCGCTGAGATGGTAGACTTTGTGCTTGCCATCATCATCCTTGTGTTTCCTCTCTCAGCCACTGTTATTTCTTATGCCTTCATTGTCTCTACCATCCTGCTCATTCCCTCTGCCACTGGACGGCGGAAGGCCTTCTCCACCTGTGGCTCTCACCTTACAGTGGTGGTCATCTTCTACACAGCTGTGATCTTCATGTATGTTCGACCTCGGGCCATTGCTTCTTTCAATTATAACAAATTGGTCTCAGCCATATATGCAGTCTTCACTCCCATGCTCAACCCTATTATCTACTGTCTGAGGAACAAGGAAGTCAAAGATGCCATCAGAAAAACCATGGCAAATGGTTGAGACCTTTTCTTGAGAGATTCTCTTTGCTGAGAGACCCGTATGTTCCTTCTCTGTTCATCATTTGACTTAACCTCAAAAAACACCTTAATTTGGTGTAAGTCTACAATTATAAACATACTAACATAGTATATTAATTTAAGGATAAGGAGCCAGACATCAAAGAAAATCCCTTTTTCTGCTAGGCCTTAATTAGTGCTTCCTTTTATAAGAAACTGAGTGAAATAAACAGAACTCTAAGAGACATATTAGTAAAAGAGTTATAAAGTAATTTTATTTTTATAAATATATTAAGAAAAATAAGTTATTATCCAACTAGTTTTTAGAATTCTATTGGTGACATTTTTCCATTTTGATTTTGTTTTGTTTTGTTTTAAAAGTCCTCTCTATCTTAGTAGAAGTATACCAATAGAGGTTCTACCATAGTCAATTTCATGGCAATGGCCTGTTTATTGTTTCCAAGGGGGTTAGGAGACTAGTTCCTTCTATAATCAATTGACCTTGATAATATCTCATTTTAATTACTTTTTAAAATTTTGGAAAATATGAGAGACAAACTTCTTTGCAGTCATTTTTCTGCAAAACTTGTCATGGCAGAGAGAAAACCAAAAAACAAACAAACAAAAATCATATATGTACTATTATATATAATATACACAAATGTAGACGTTCCAACAAAGAGAACTAAGGCATGAAATTTTATATATAATTATGCTATATAAATGTATATATATTTTTTCATACTTTAATTCTCTTTATTGGAACTTCTGTACATGTAATTTTTCTGATGTAATAGTTGGGGGCTAGCCCTAATAAAAGACTAATGATAACTCATTAAAGCCCATGCCTTTTGGGGTAAAGGAAGCATTAGCATTGACAAGAGGCCATGTGCTTTGTTTAGATGGTTGTTGGCCCGGATGTGCAGGGTTTTCCCAGGTTTCCCAGAGAATTCTCGTTCTCTTTTGTTTTTATTTTATTTTGGAAAGGTGGATGCAATGCCCTAAGAAGTGGTATATGCTTTCCTTTAGCCATTATAAAGTGACAGAAGAGAAATTGCGTCTGTCTGGCTCAGCAACAATATTGGATGAGTGAATTAACGAATATGGTCTGCCAAGAGTTTAAGGATGACAGGCTATTTCATCCCAGCGCTTTGGAAACCACATTTAATAAGTTTTAGTTGGGTTACTGATGTTTAAACCTTATGTGCTTTGACTTTATTTACTTTGTATCTACATGGTCTATCCATTTTGTATTATGTTTTTATAGAAGCCTGATGAGATAGTTTTAATTTAGTTTTGTATAGACTAAGATAATTTGTAAACTGTCATTTTCCAGTTTATCTAAACCTATTATAATCTCCTAGTCTTCATTACTATTAGCTTAAACACTGTGTGTTCCTAATGATATGAACCATTTCCCTTTAGTCAAAAAAGTAGTATGGGCCTTGACTCTCACATAGACACTAAAAATAATACATATGCTTTACCTTGAATCATGTAAGTTTTTATCCCAATGCTAAAATTTTCTAGTCTTTTGTAGAAAAGATAGATGGATAAAAGGTAGATAAGGGTAAAGGGGGTCAAATATATGCTGACAAAAGGAGATTTAACTTTGAGTGGTAAACACACAATACATTATACACATGATGCATTTTCGAGTTGTACACACTTGAAGCCTATATAATGTTATTATCTATGTCACCCCAATCAATTTAATTTAAAAAAATAATAATAAATTAGTGCAAAAGGAAGTTCCAGTTCAGTGGAATCATTGTTGTGTCTCCTAGTAGAAATGTTCCTTCCTTTGGAGTTAGGACCTCTAGACCGGAAAAGTTACAAGGACAGGAAGCAAAAATTGTACTCATGGCTCACTAGGGATAATAGGTAGTGAAACTACTCCCTTTTCCACCCCTTGATTCCTGGACACATGAATACTGGTAATGAGAGAGATAGCACTGTACATTGGATGGTGATTTAGAGCACATACACCATCCTGGAGGACAATGCCTCAGCCAGGCAAAGTATTAACCACTTAGATGAGACTGTAACTGTAACTTCAAAAGGTTATTCTATTATTGTATCAAACCAGCTGCCCTAGTATGGTAGGGAAATGGTATGATCAGTGAATTACATCAGCATGGGCCAATTGCTATACTTCATTGACTGTCAAGTATACTTTATTAATCAGAAGCAAGCTGTGTGGAATACCATGACAGTGGATAAGTGCTGTCTTTTCCAGTGGGCCAGTGTAATCAATCATTACTAGCTAATGGGCTGATCACTCCATGGAATGGTGCTCTACTGGGGACTCAGTGTTGGTCTCTGCTGCTGACTACTTGGGAAATGACCATAGCCAGGCCAGCATGGATGAGCAGAGGTCCATGCTGCTGAGCCCATGTACAACCTCCATCTCTGCCACCATAGTCATTTTTTTCATGAGTCCATTGCTTTCTCCTTTTCCCCTTGCTACTTTCCAATCTTTCGACCTTTTCATTCAAAATTGTCAAAGTGTAATTTATACCCACTATCTCCACTTTACTATCTCCTCTTTACTTCTCAGATCACAGCAGTCTGGCTTCCTCTCTCACCCTCTACTTAAACCTCCACATCCAGACTCATTAACAATATCTTCACCCCCAACTTCCATGGGCTTTTATTTTATTCATATTTACTGGATTGCTGTGCTACATTTGACAATAGATCTCTCTCTTTTTGAAACTTTCTTTTCTATGGCTTCCATGAGACCATATCATCTTAGTTCTACTGGTAAGTGTATCTGTTCCTTTGTTCATGCCCTTCCTTGCCCCACTCACTGGCATTTCTTCCTTAGACTTTAATGTTTCTTAGGTTTCATCCTCAGCCCACCCATCTTATCAAAATTAATGGAAAACCGAGGTAGTAATGGATTATTCTGCTTTTTGTTCTTAAGAACTTTTAATTCATAGCAGTAGTCCTTTAAAAGATTTTAAAAATGACCAACTCTAAGGGAAATTTCACATTGTAGAACAGTGCACACTTATAATACACACAAATAAAATTGAAATAGATGTTTTCTGAAAACTAAAATAACACGTTCATAAGAGATGCTATTTTCTTTTCTATTTTAGGTGGGGTTTTTTTTTCTTTTCAGCCAAGTTTATTCCTCCCCACTTTCTTTGTTCTTAAGAATTTTATTTTATTTTATTTTATTATTAGTTTCAAGTATACAGTAAATTGGTTAGACATTTATATAGTTTATAAAATGATCTCCCCAATCACTCTATCACCCATCTGGCTCTACACATAGCTATTACATTATTGCTGACTACATTTCCCACTCTGTGACCATCTCTCAACTACTGCTTTGTACTTCTTTAGCCCTTCATCCCTTTGTCCCAGTTCCCCAATGCCCCTTTCGCCATGGACAGTGATGCAAAAATCTTCAACAAAATATTAGTAAACCTAATATTTGGCAATACATTAAAAATATCATACACCATGATCAAGTTGGATTTATCCTGGGTTGCAAGGTTGGTACAATATCTGCAAATCAATTAATGTGATACAAATTAACAAATTGAAATAAAAATCACAAGATCATACCAAGAGATGCAGAAAAAGCATTCAACAAAATCCAGCATATATTTATGATAAAAACTCTCAGCAAAGTGGGAATAGAGGAAACATATCTCAACATAAAAAAGGCCATATATGACAAACCTACAGCTAACAACATACTCAATGGGGAAGGTGAAAAGTGTTTTCCTTAAGATCAAGAACAAGACAAGGATGCCCACTTTCACCACTCCTCTTCAACATTGTATTGGAAGTCTTAACTACAGCAATCAGACAAGAAAGAGAAATAAAAGACATCAAGAGTGGAAAGGAAGAAGTAAAACTCTCATTATTTGCAGATGGCATGATACTATACAGAGAAAATTCTAAAGATTCCACAAAAAATTTTTTTAGAACTCATCAGCGAATTCAGTTAAGTAACAGGATACAAAATTTATATTCAGAGGTCATTTGCATTTTTATACACTAATGATGAACTATCAGAAAGAGAAATTAAGAAAACAATCCATTTACAATGGCATCAAAAAACAAAATACCTACCCAGGAATCAAATTAACCAAGGAAGTAGAAGATCTGTTCTCAGAAAATTACAAGTCATTGAAAAGAGAAATTGAAGAAGATACAAATATATGGAACCATATACAATGCTCATGGGTAGGAAGAATCAACATCATTAAAGTGGGCATAGTACCCAAAGCAATCTATAGATTCAATGCAATCTTTATTCTGGTTTTAATAAATACTTGTGGCAACCCATTAAATATATCCATTGTCCACTAATGTATTACACATCACAGTTTCAAAAGAATTGTCTTAAGCAGTGATTATTTGGCTATTGCTGTTGCAGGCTTTTAAAAATTATCAGTGTACTCTCCTCACACTGTATATAAAGAAAATATATTTCTCATTTAATTTTCACTATCCTTACTTGTGCTTCACAGCCCATGAATCTTCCTCTATGTATTCAGGGTTAACCTACTTCCATATCCACTCTGGATGGAAATTCATGAATGGAAAATTTACTGCCACCCAGTGGTCTTGAAATCAAGTTATACTTGATAGGTCATGAGCCAGTGGTCCAGACACAATTGATCTCATCACATTTTTCCTCTGCCACCAGCTAGATGTAATGTCTCCTTTGTGAAAACAAGCCATTATACAGTCTTTGGCTTCTTTCTATCCAAGATGGCCCTGCCAGGTGGGCTGACTTTCTGCTCTGACATATCTGTTCCAATAGGCAGTTCTAGGACTACTTTTTCAACCCTTCTCAGGGATATCAGCTGTTAGCCCTGAGTCCCAGTCATTTTCCCATGATCCTTTTACCTTCTCTAACTCGTTCTAAACCTCTTCCGTATCAGTTTAGATCCAGCCATCTTATTCCTTGCTTATTCCTGATGAACAGCAATGTAAAGACTTTGAATACTGTTTCTTGTTTGGCTTCAGAGCACT